CAGCGGGGGCGCGGGCAGGGTCTAACCCCGAACCCAAGAGAGAGAGAGAGAGAGAGAGAGAGAGAGAGAGAGAGAGAGAGAGAGCTGTGATTGGAGAATTACCAACACTGCTAGAAATAGTTGTTGATTAGGATTATATGTACACTGAGTGGGTGGGACTCGCACTGGATGCACTAACAACTGGTATAAGAATGGCTTCTCTTGTATCTGTCTGACTCGGCATACATATATCCAGCGTACAGCAGGTTCGTAAGGCTTACCCCTGAAGCCAGAATGAAGGCACTCTCAGCAACGCTGGGATTTCCACAGTCTGTAATAAAATAACTAATATGTAGGACTACCGCTGGCGTTCGCCGCCTTCGCAAAATGCGATAAATAAATAACTATGACGATTCTACTACACTAAGTGGCGAATACAAATGGCGAATGGTTTAACTGCTCACAAAATTTCGATTGAAATAATGAAATCGTCAAATTGACGTGTCGTGACGTAAAAATTTTGCTTACAACTTTTTTGTCATACCCATCACCTGTTTATGCCTTGTTTAGCACATACGATAAAGTAAACTGTGGCTATAGGTTTTCATTGATGGCTAAAAAAGAACTTTGGTGGCTCAGGTCTTGGGTCAAACTCAACTAAAAACATCCAGAGGAAGCCTTGTCTCTTATCGCGAATAAAAGATCTCACAATTTATGATGATTAGCAGTAACGATAACATCTTGCTGATTCAAATAGCAAGAAGATACGGATGCGCAAAACACGTACCCATCCAAGCACGTCCAGACTTTAGTGCCACCTATAAAGCAGGGAAAGAATGCGATATACTTTACAAGAAGAGCACTTTGTTCGGAATATAGTAGTAGCAATGGGTATGTAGTACTGGGTACATAGTAGTAATATAGTTGGTAATATAGTAGTAGGGGGGTAGTAGTAGTAATGTTAATGGCATACATGCAAACTGCACGATATAATCATTAGACGAAAACCAATTCAATAGACCTTACATTGTTGAGACAATCAAAGCCTCGTACAGGCTATAGGCTGTATTGTGATTTAGATAAGAGCAAGAATCATGCATTAGTGCAATCCATCTGGATCAATCAGTAACTTTGATTGATTAAAAGTAATTCACAATCACGTAAAACAATGCGCTGCGTTGCAAAGCATATTGCAGAAGGCGTTTTCTGCGCGAGCAGGGGGTCGGGGGTCGGGACCCCCTGGACCCCCCCTCCATGTACACGCCCCTGCCAAGATACCATTGACCAACATTAAATTTAGGTTTAATTAATAATTAGCGTAAAGTCACCAGTAAAAGATTAGTATTATTTTAATGATAACTTTAAAAGATTAACCTGCATGTGCTTTTATTGTCACTGCAGCAGCAAGCATGCACCTATTGTGCAGTTATAGCTATCAATTCTTGCCTTTTCCGCATTTGGGGTCATATATATGTGCCTAGAAACTTTCAATTCTGCTTTGAGAACAGAACAGAACGTATATCAGAGGTTAATAATGACAATTGTTATAATTTATTAGTAACCAAAATTTTAATGTTCATATGTAAACAAAATGTTAAATAACAAAATGTTAAATGTTAAATGTAAACAATTAAAATGTTAATAATTTGTCATTATTAACCACTGGTATATGGACCACTTAAAGACATAATAGGTCCATTGATTATGCAATTTTAACGAATGCTTGAGTAACTGGCACCTTGTGTAGTTAATAAGTACATTACCTTATAGCCAAACGCGTATTAGTTTGTCCAATATTACTGCTATAGTTACTAAGAAATGTCGAATTGAAATCCGTAAATCTGGCAATCTGGCGCCAACGCTAATTTGTTTGCCAAGCAATATAGCTTCGAAGTGGTTATGTGGCGTCACATGCTGCTACGAGTGTTGAGCAGAGAATTGTTTGTCCCGGGTAAATTGTTTGTCTAGTGACGGCTCTCCTGCTCTAGCTGCTTCTCCGCCCCTTCGTGGTGGCATTGTCGAGATGCGTATAACGGCTAATGAGCTCGTAGAATGCATCTCTGCATGGGTGTATTCTCGGTATCGAGGCACAAGTAAATAAGCGTGGTTGCTAATGAACGGGTACCCACATGTCTTCAATTTCGGACACAGGTGTATTCGTTTGACAAATATACGTAAATACGCGTATAGTGCCGTCTGCTTCCCATGTTTAGTCTGTGGCCGTGGTTAGTTCGCGATCCCCACATAGTGTTGGCCCCCAACATTCACAGCCTACTTCATTATCACGAGCGTCCGTGATTCGTACGTTCATTACAATCAGAGCTAGCGTAGGGCCCATTGTTACGTATACAGTTACTGTACTATCGCTAGCGTGCCAGCTGAGCGGCAGCGTGCCAGCAGCAAGAGCTTGCAATAGCTGGTATTGCAACGGTAATAGCTGGAGATAATCTCCCAGTGCGTATAGAGATACTGCATGAACGTAATAAACACGGACGCTCGTGATAAGGTAAAATGCCAGGAATTAGGATATAACGTTTTATCGGGGCTGTCCGTTTATAGTCCGTGCATGGGTGTCCGTCAGTTTTCGTTCGTGTGTTCTGCACCGTTTACGTGTTTCCCATTTCATAGTATAATGAACTTGCTGTACGTACGCAGGTTCGTACGATTCGTCAAATTGGGTTCTAATATCCCTTTTCACATATTATATATGTTGCTTGTAATCTCATGATCTTCGTATATATTCATTTATTCCCAAGAGTAAAACCATAAGTTAACGTACGGAATGCGCACTCAGACCACAAGGATCGAAATCCCTGATGATAGCATTGCGTACGGCAGAGCATGCGTGCGAAAATGTCCGGTGCACTATAAACCTGTATCACACCCGCTTCGCGGCAGCTTTTTGAAAGTGTGGACAACCGATTTTTGGACTGCGGATTTCAATTCGACATTTCTTAGTAACTATAGCAGTGATATTGAACAAACTAATACGCGTTTGGCTATAAGGTAATGTACTTATTAACTACACAAGGTGCCAGTTACTCTAGCATTCGTTAAAATTGCATAATCAATGGACCTATATTATGCCTTTAAAATGGCAATACACCCAATACCTCTACATTTACTGCAATCATATTCCTCACGTTTAGGTAAATTCATTAGTGCACGCTGGAGTCACTGCATCACCTACGTACCTGATCTCTAGGTGAGACGGCATTGTGGTCTTTGCCTAGCTCATAACTCTCTCTCAGCCATGTCACAGCTCTCTCAAACAGATTTCTGCCATAGCATTCCACTCCAAAGTTGTAATATAACATCGACAGATAAGCAGCCTACAAGACAGAAGTCAAACACTGACAAAGAACCGCACACAGGCATGTCAATTCCAATGTTACAGTATGTAAGTATTGTATTGCGTACGTACGCTGTTTGCTACTAACAAGTAACTATACCTATAACTAACTAATTAACTAACTAACTAACTAACTAACTAACTAACTAACTAACTATAACTAACTATAACTACCTACCTACCTACATACCTATATCTAACTAACTAACTGTTTGCTAGTAACTGTTGGTTAATTACTAACAAGCAACCGACGTCTGTTTTCGTGCAATATAAGGATGACAATGATAGTCTTTCACATGGATAACGCGGAACGGGCATGCAGACATATTATGATACAAGACATACAAGCATGCAACACACACACATCCACGCACGCGCGCACGCACGCACGCACACACACACACACACACCGCAGGGCGCGCAGCAACTACACGCACGCACGCACGCAACAGCACGCATGAACCCCACACACCACACCCATGCACACGTACAGTAAATTAGGCTTACTGTCTCAGTAAATGGCATTAAAATTGAATTAGCATGGCAATAACCGATTTAATAATATAATAATAAAGAAGAAGAAAGAAGAAGAAAAAGAAAAAAAACTAATATTACTGATACAATGTTTGAGCAGGATGCGGACAACGTATAACCTTATACACTTGTTGAGGACATCTGATTATATAACGCTGCCTGAATATGCTCTAGTTATATAACTAATCGGCGCTGACAATAACCTCACCCTGTACATGGACTTCACGTTTACAACGTACAAACATTAAAAAACAGACAAACAGTAAAAACGACGGATGCGTGCTAGCGGACAAACATTGCAGCACAAGATCGACGTACGGGTAATGTGTGCATTTTGACATGTGTCTACAACATCGAGACATAAATTGAAAACTGAAGGCCAAATTGGAAAAAAAATAAGTATCAAGTATATTAATTATTTGTCATATTTAGGTAAAAAGAAAGTGGCCGGCCGCATGAATCCGGGAAAAAATACGAGATGTTATATATCCTACATTAATATAATTACGCAGCACCTTGCACCCTTTCGCGTTGGCTATAATTAATCCAATAGAACTGGTAGTATTTATATAAGTACCTCTTGGGGAGTCGCAGAAGCATGTCCTTTGCTGCAGTTTGAAGTATTTTGATGGCCTCTTCCCATGTTCTCTGTGCAAGACGTCCTAAAGCCAAGCACAATAATCTACAGTGTGCAATTCCCTGGAGTGTTATCCACGTGACTATACACTGTGACACAGCTTCGACATAATAAAAAGATGCAGCAAATATGAATTGATTTGTTCTTGGAATATGCATAACTTTCATAGCAACTATAAAACCATGCGTCTACTAATAATATAGGCAATGGGATGAATATGTTCTAACGACTTTTATGCATTGCTTACAAATACAGCAGTTTAATTAAAATTAATTCCTACCGTGGTCCGTTATATACTACTGTTAGCTTTTTAACTTACAGCTTCTGCCTTGTATGCATAACGCGAAAAGATCCCCTTCTCAACCTCCATCTCTGACTGCTGACATCGCTGTCTCCATCAGCACCGTTGATTATGTGTGCAAAGAGTTTCTCAAGCGCCTGAAAACACCTCATTAGCTATGTAGCACAGCAATGCACTTATGTGTCGCTAATAAAGATTATTAACCACTCATTTGTGTTACACGTGTAGCACAGCGGCAGGCTTCTCCAGATATTATTTGCATTTATAATTTCCCATAATTTTCCATGAGCTAGCACACGGTGAAGCCGCACGGCGTAAGCAATCGCCATAAAGGGGTGTACGATAGTTACGAGTTTCATACTGACCAGAATTAAGCAATCACCACAAACAACGCACCATATTATCCGAGACACCTATTAGTCAAGAGTCGCATCTGTGGATGCGAAACTACAATCTAAAGGGAGACTCGGCCTTCTTCCTTTCAACCGCATAGTCCAGTTTGTCCGAGTTCGTGATCTTCCCTTGGTTTCCTACACCTATTCCCTCTATACGCCGTCTGTCCACCACCTTCACTTCGCCGAGCTATTTCGCATTCACGTTTTTAAGGTACGAGGTTATACTTGTATTCGTTTACGTATTCGTCGGTGTTTGTAGACATCTGTTTAGTATCGTAGAGTTGTTTGTTTAGGCTGTTAAAGTGCAATTGCCACCTGTGACGAATATGCTGTGGTGTAATAGAGACCACGGAGAGTAGCTTTTGTAATACAGTGTTCGTGTTATCTGTCGACGTGACCATACACTACCCTTAAGGTGACTACCTCAACACATGCGTAGACCGAGAACTGGAGAGAGGAAAGCGCGGAGCTTGCTTAAACACGCATTATTGTGTTACACACATTATTGTATTACACACAGTATTGTAACTGTTACACACTTTTTGTGTTAATTACAAACATGATATTGCGTTACACACCTAATTGTGTTATACACACCTGATTGTATTACACACCTGATTGTGTTACACACCTGCGTTACACACCATACATGGAGCCCGTTGTCAGAAACAAAATTAGTCTTAACAATAGTCGTAACATTAACAATTTCTCCTAGACCGTCGACATCACTTTGTTTCGTATTGTTATGAAGAAATCTGTGCGATTTTTTATTCAGGTAACTACGCAGCGTTTCTGTCAACGGTCCAGAAGAAACAGTTAATGTTAAGACTAAGGTCCTCCACAGAAAAATTTTGAAAATTTAGATCGCAGGAAATGGTATTTGAGGCACTTTTGAGTACATGTACCTTCATTCTGACAAACAATTCTCTTTTAGTAGAACAATTTTTTATTTTTTTGCTTTAAATCTAGGGGGCAGGGACTGCCCTTGCCCCCTCCTCTCTGGCAGGCTACGGCCCTGGTTGTGCTGAACAGTTTACATAAGATTTAGGTGAACCTTGTAGAATATTGCCTATATATTACACAGGTAGACGTTGTACAGGATTGTATATAATTTAATGGTGTAGGTGATGTGTGCAAGACCATCAGTATATATATATGACCCCTGATATATATATATATATATATATGTAGAAAAAACGAATAGGGTGTTCAATTTAATTTAAAATTTAAAACCTTATTCTATTTCTCTACATTTATTTTCACATCTACATCGGTGTTTGTGTGTTTTACTTCTAGTTTTTATATACAATATAATCAGGAGTAAGATAATATAGATCTATATTATCTACTCCTGAATAATTATATAGTGTGAGTTATATGAGTGTGCAGCACTGTCCACATATGATATGTAGGTGGCTTCTGCAAGATTGTCTGCACACATGCACGCACGCGCGCAACCCACGCACGCACGCTCGCACATCGTGAGAGAGAGAGCGAAAGAGAGAGAGAGAGAGGAGAGGGA